GCTTGTGTGAGCAAATCCAATTTTTGGCAGCAAATGTCAGTTACGCGGTTTTGCAGAATGACGATATGCGTTTTTTTACTTTAAACGACGATATATCTATTTCTGATCACCAATGATAAAGCTTTTTATAAAGATATGTTGCTCGAGCGATGGGAAAACTTAAACTACGCTGTCACGGTTAAAAAGAAACCGTTACTTCAGTTGTCAGGGCAAAAACAGTATCTTATACAGTTTGATAGATAACAGCCTTATTAAAAGTGTTGTACTATTTGAAAATAAGGTCCTTTTAATGACTCAGACAGAACCTTTTATGTGTTCGAAAAATCCGATTTTTTGAGAAATAATAATGTGTATTTTTTTGTATTCATGTTTTGAATATAGCGGTCGCTGCAATTTGAACACCTGGTACAAGAGCAAAGGTCCGCAGTTATCTTCTTCTTCTTTTTTGGCGCTGTAACCGCCTTTGGCCGAGTTCAGCAAAGCACGCCAGTCGTTTCTCCTCTGTGCCAACTGACGCCAATTGGAAACGCCAAGTGAAGCCAAGTCCTACTTTTCCCAAAATGCGGTTAGCATGTTTACATACTGTTTTGCAAACTCCGCTCAGTTTTCCTATTCGTTTCTTTATTTTCTTCCTGCACTGGTGGAAAAATCCACACGCAAGCTTTCGATCACTGCTCTAGATGAAATTTCAGGACTCTTTGCAACTTTTCTTCTCATAACGAGCTCAATGTGAAATTTTGGGTTTTGAACCTCCCCCGTACTAAGTCTTGCATCTCTTCGTCAGCTCAAATTAGATTGAGCATCTGCGGCCAATTTTGGGCTACAAAATACCAAAAGGCAACCACACAAACTAAGGGTTTTTTTTTTAGAGCTGGGACTTCATCGGAAATGTTTGTTTTGCGAGTTTATACTTTCATTTGACGCCTTTTGTTTTAGAATCTTTATCTAAGTATATATTGTTTTAAAATTAATTTACGAGAAGAAGAAAAATGACAACAAAACAACAGGCATGGACACTCCGAACACACCACAAAGTACCACCAGGACAAAAATCACCGACTTTTACCTACCTGCAGGCAAAAACCATACAGAGACAACATAACGGATGTTAATATCGTGACAGCGAACCTACCAACCTATTACCTGTTTTTGAAATAAAAGAGGACACCATGGCATTTCTAATAATTAATCATCGACGAAAATCACATTACCTAAGATAAATGAACATAAATTAAGGACAAACACTCGAACCAGACAGAACGAAAAATGACACTGAAGATGGCACAATGCCGAAACCGGTTTGTCTGCAAACCAAACATGACAAGGGATAACGGAAATTCGTTCCAAAATAAATCATCTTACAACCCTGTCGGAAAAATCAACCAACACCAATACTACTTATTTACTTTAATAAATCTGCACTGAAATTTATACTTTTATAGGATGCCTAGTGTACTTACAGTCATGATAAAAATAATAGGGACACATTTCGACCAGTTTTGGCAATTTTTTAACTTTTTTTTTAACTTTGAACCACGCTAACCGATTTTTATAATTCTTTTTTTTTTTTTTAGGAAAGGCCTTCCCTCAGAGGTGGTCCCATACTAATTTGGTTTAGATCCGATCATTGGATCATGAAGAAACCAATGATAACCTTATATTTTTATATCAGAATTGAAGTCGGTTTTGTTTTTTGCTTAAAAATTACATGTTATTTTGTCGTTTAATGTTTATGTTTATGTTTTTGTAAGTTTTTTAGCCAATTCAATTCTAGTGCAAATTTCAAGTTCAGAATCCGCGAAGATTTTTCATAATTTTTTTTTTGCTGACGGTGTCACGCATTTGCTTCCATATGAAGTATGTTCGAAATTTTTTTTTCCTGAGCATCTGAGAGCAAGAAATTAATTTTAAAGACTGATTTAACTAATAAACTTATTTTTATTCTAAAACAATGCAAGCAATAGAAATCATAAGTATTGAAGGTAATTAACGTCTAAACGACGTGGTAAAGTATAAAAGGGTAAGTTATTATTTTTTACTTAATTCTTACTAACACTTTTAAATAGTAGCACCGAATTTAGCAAGTGTGGCAATTTCAACATTCCTAATTCAGAGTTAGCCGAAATTACAATTGCAAGTAATCGTGTAGTGCATAAACAAAAAAAAATAAATAAAAAATAAACATCCCAACCTTACAAAAGAATTCTTGAGACAATTTATACTTTTACTAAAAAGAGGCCTGCTGCATAGAGAGTAAAAAACTGTTTGTTTTTTAACCTTGAAGGCTAGACAGCTTTACCCACTCCCAGGCACCATTTTTATATACATATACGTATATAGTTCCTGCTTATCCATTTTGTATAATTCAGCTTGCACAAGTAAGCAGTTTGTATAATACGAGGACTTTTTTTTACCTTTTAAAAGCTGTTTTAAGTTTTTTGAGGTTAGGCGGTGTGCGTAAAAATAAACCAATTACAGCCATTTTAAGGGTGCTGTCTTATATTATATCAATATAAATATATGGCCAAAATTTCGTGGTCGTGCATTCATCGCTGCGCTTTTAATTACATCTTTAAGAGTTTTTGAGATTAAGTTTGTATGGGAGGTATGCGTTAAAGTAAATCGATTTCCAGGAGATAAATTCAGGAGTTAAAAGCCAATCCAAAAACCTCCCTGAGAGTCAAGAGGCCTCTACATTCGTTTCTCCTTTTTTTTTGTATGGAGCGACACAAATTGAAGGGCTTCTTCTTTCGCTACTCATGGAAGGCCTTCCAGAAGGGCATTTATAGGACGTGCTTCAGAAGGTCTTTTGGAGGAGCTCTTTTAAAAAGTTGCTTCTTTAACTTATAAAAATCATGCACCTTGGAAGTACGTATCTATTTGCTTACGGTTTATATCAGACACATATGTGTTATTGCAACTTAAAACGTTATTGAAATTTATTTGTAGTGCTAAATAATATAAATTTCGCGTAAATTGTAAATGAATAAGACCTTCTAGAAGGCATGCAAGCACTTTCTTCAGCCCCTCTTGGGTAGGCCTCTTAGAATGGCTTTACTTAAGAAGGCCTACCTATTACTCCATTATTGTGAATATATGGACGGACGAAATTTCGGAGTTCCTCATACAACGGTGCCCTTTGAACGGCATTTTTAAGACGTTTTTGAGGTTAGGTTTGTATGGAAGGTATGCTTTAAAATAAACCGATCACCGATTTTTCGTTTTTTCTTGATTTATGTCCCTAGGGTTACATACTAACAATTAAAGCCCTACGCCTACGGCTAAACCACTGTGCGGCGTCGTCTGTTACAACTGTCATACAAACACACGTATTAAATTTTATTTGACATTTTGCCGGCGAACGCATGTTTGCTACCTTCAAGCCCGCAAACGATCTTGGTTCTTTTTTCAACGAAAATTAAAACTGCCCGGCTACAACTACCTTCCTTGAACGGCATTGCGCTGACTTTTTCGGATGAAGTATGATATTTGGCTGTTTGACAGAAAGTTAACAAGGCGACGCATGTAGAGGAGCGCAGCAAGAAAGCTATAAACTCCATGTACGCCTGTAAATCGGCGATAGAGAAAAACTAGGGCTTAAAGCCTCAGATCGTGAACTGGGTGGTTCTCTTCCTCGGCATCACCGTTTGGGGGCCTACTTAAAAAAATAAAAACTACAAACATTCAAAGGGTGGCCTGCATTATGATCAACCTCGACTAAAGCCCTAAAGACCTTGCTCCACTTTCTACCTGTGCCCTCATCTGGTAATATTTGCAAAAGTTCTAACCCAGCAAACACAGTTTCAAACGTTTGACAAAAACGTATTTCTCAATTTGATATCAAATGTTTTTCTCAAATGATTCTCAAATTGAAAACGAGGTTTAAATTTTACATTTGAAATTCATTTGAGGTTGATTTGAAGAAAGATGTCAAGTATCAAACGATATAAAAATGCGCAGTTGAATTAAAAATTGTAAGAATAAAGTTAAGATCAATTGAAAAAAAAACGATGAATAGAAAAAAACTTTCAAGGGGAAAGCCCAGAAATAGTGGATTTGATATTTGCGCGGATTGAAGAAGCTGCATCCCTTCAAGACGAATTTATTATAAATTACTTTATCTTAATTGTTTCTTTTGTTATTTACATACGTATGTACATCGCGAAGAAATATACATTTCCTATAATAAATTTTATTTCCACATTTGAAGTACAATTGATAAATAACCTTTGAATGGAGATCAAACTCCTCTTTTTATTGAGAAAGCTGTAATTTTCAAATCAATATCAAATCATTTTCAAATGTTTGCTGGGTATAAGGTATCGCGAAGCAAACCAGGCATTTGTAATATGTAAATAATATAAGGAGGACGCAATCCTTAACTTTGGATAGCACACAGATTTAAATTAAGGACCATCGGTATGCATTGCAACTTTTGTTTAAATTTATTAAAAAATATATTATGGGCTCAGGTTGCGCCAATTAGTGTCAGCATTTATGTATGACCCCAAGGCTTTAACATTTAACATCCTGCCCAGTCCAGAGATTTTACTGGGTGACGAAGATTAAAGATGGGCAAGTCATTTTGCAATTGATCGTCGTTAAAACACGAAATTATCACCATCCCCACCTGCGTTGACTCCTCCCGTATTGATCGCTTACGAAGTTTGTAAAATTATATTCCTGTGTGCAAAAGGGATTACTCATATACTCGCAAGCGAGTATTCGCGCAGCAATCATATAATGCTCTCAACTTTTACTGGGTAATGACGCGACACTTGTCGGAAGACTTGTCTTTCGAAACTTATGGATACTTAGTTTCTCTACATTATAGTATCAACTAATTCACACAATAATAAATATACTCTAACTTATCGCTATACATATGGGTGTATATGTATAAATGTACATTTAATAAGAGCTTTGATAAATACATCTAGTCTGTAAGATTGTATAAATCATAGATTCCAAGTAAATGAATATGTATATATTGTACTTACAATCATCGCCTACTGGGCCAGCTGAACATTGTGCAGGTGGATCTCTGCCCAGATCTTGTAGTTCCTGTAAAAATCAAATAGGTTATTACAATTGTCGATACATTTTTAATTACCAATTTCAATGCATTTTATGGCAAATAAAGGTGCGAATTAATTCTCAAGTAATGTCTCAAAATATTCGACATTATTATTAAATTTATTGCAAAGTGTACATAGAGATATTTCCAAGTGTACGTACACAGGTAACCGAGCGTAAAGTGAGCACAGACAACGCAATTTCGCATTCATGCCAACGACATATTCAAAATAATATAAAGAGTAAAGGAAAAAATTAAAATATGGAAAGTTCATTGGCCCCGTCCAAATTCTGCCTAAACGAATACAGATGTGTGGAACATCAAAAAAAAGGGAGACATTGGCGACTGCCAGCAACGGTGATTCTTCTGGACACCAGCGTATAGGCGCCGCAAACACAGATACATACGCATACATATGCCTATGAAAATGCACCCAATTTATACTTAAAGGTTTTACTGTCGATGTGGTTCACACAATGTTGCGGCAAGTATAAGAAAAAGGAAAGCACATGGTGTCAAGGTGAAAGGATAACAAAATGTTAAATCTTCAATGGCTCTGAAGGGAGTGTATTTAACAGGTTTTTATGCAGGAGTGGTACTCCAAGATGATATTTTGATATTGGGATCATCAACTAAAAGCACATATAAGTTACAAATTACATTCATTCCTCTAAACATTTACGCACATGATTTCACTCATCGAAAAGATCTAAAACTTCTAAAATTGCGACAATTTACGAATTTGCAGAGAGACGAGTTTCATTTCTTAACCATCGCACAAGAACTAAATATTTCGGCATGGTGACGATAGCGCACCATGACAAGACCACGACAATCTCCTACGTCGAACTAGAAGCCAAAGCAGCGCGTGTGAATCGTCAAACGATAACAAAAACAATACCAACAATGGCAGGCCTACGACAACGTAAATATGCTTTGAGGAAATTAAGAAAAACATAAATTTGGACTGTATAAAAATAAATTTACGAACGGGAAATATAGATACAAACGTACAAACAGTTGTTGAATATGGATACTGCTGTTGGAAAGCACTCAAAAACGCATGCCTAAACTACCTACATATATATAAGATTGGACGAATCATTGGGAATCCAGGAAATCCGAACCGCATTGAATAGTGAATTTTACAGCAGCGGAAGATTAGTTGCGTTTTTACACACTATCCAGAAAAAAACTAGTATGTATATGTATAACAATTCTACTGTAGAGGAAATTAAGAGAGTAAATGACTGCTGAACTTGTAAGTTTTACTGGGTTTTCGCTGGATAAATTTTTACCAATAAAAAATTGTTTGTGGGGCTTTTATAGAGATAATTGATATAAGAAACCTATTTAAATATATAATAAGCAGGGCCGAAGAAAATAAGCAGAAAAAATCCATTTTAACCGCTTAGAAAAGAACTAATACATTGGTAAACATGCTTGCAAATATGCTCGCAAAACAACGTAATTTAGTGTACAGTTTAATGTTTTTTATTTTATTCAGTTTATTTAAAGGATTGAAAAATTATGGACAATCAAGTGTTGCTGGATATTCTCAAATAAAAGAGATCTGAGCTGGTCGTTTTAAGTTCTTATCAAATTTCCTACGCTTTCTACTATGGTTTGCTAAAGTCTGTTTGTGAAGAGTACAATGTACCCTTGCTTTCAACAGAAATATATGCCCGTTCCATTATTTTGGAAGGAACTGTCAAAACTCTTTGGCCACTACTATTCACACACACGAAATATAATAGCAAATCATTTCTTGACCGTTTTCTTAAAATGTCCGTAAGTTTAATACATTGAAATAAGCAAAATAAGCATGATCGTAAAAATTAAGCTTGAAAACCCTGAATAAGCAAAATAAGCAATTCCAAACAAATGCTTAAACTTTTCGACCCCGATAATAAGATTTTAATTGATAAAATAAACCTATTTAAATATATAAGATAGGAAATACTATTTTTCATTTCAGAAAGCAGTTGCATGAGAAGTCACACCTTGCATGTAAAGTGTCTTTCGAAAGAGGTTTTTTATTTCCAAAAGTCGAATTGCAGATTGCTAGTGCAGCACGAGCGAGTTGAAATATATCTGTGGTCATAAGCAATAACCGCCGAAGTCGAAAAACCTGAATTCGCAAAAAAAAAAACGTTTGGATTGTAATGTTAACGTTATGGGGAAACCAAAATATGGTCGCGTATAACTTTTTAAATAGCCTAGCTGGCGAGATGGGGCTTTCACATACACATGGAATAGTGGTAGTAGAATAACTCAATTCTTTCTAAAGTCGACTTGGCGGTTATTGCTTATGACCACAGACATTTCCGAACCGATTTGTCCTCTCAATTGCAGTCACATCTTGCAACTTTTATTTCTGAAAAAATAAAATTTCTCTTTCTCAATTTGACAGCGAATTGCGTGGAAAAGTTGGAAACATTGTCACGCCTGACACGCTCTCAAATGACGGCTGAACTTGTAAGTTTTATAGGCACCATAGACGGTGCGTCTGACTCGCGAGACATCTGTGTACGTGTTGACTCGCCTTTCGACTGCACACAGTTGAGTCACTCAGAGTCATGTCGGTGTAACAAACACATATTTATTTTCACTAACACTTCCAAACCGACTCGCGAGCAGCGTTGCCAGAAGAGAACTTTTCCCGTTTTGTGGGAATTTTGAACGAAAAATATAAGGGGGGAAAAATGGTCGCCGTGCCCATAAATATTATAATAATCCTATTAGGCTAAAATAGTGGGAAAGCTGTATAGAATTTAAAGTTAATTTACGCGAAGAATCTCGCCCGTCAGCATCCACCTCCAATCAAACTCGAGCATTTTGAACAATATCTACAGTGAGCCTTCTTCCTAAGAAATCTTAATTGCAAAAACATGCAAAAACGCAAAAGCATGTGCAAAAATATAAGTCAATTCACTATGTGCGTTTGCGGCGGAGCACAATATTGCATTTGATCACTTATCAGTGCTGTTGAAAACGGTGTTCAGTAATTCAAAAATTGCATCACAATTGCACACGAATGATATGTACAAACAACGCATAAGTAGATGCAATATATGTTTTAAAGTAATATTTTTATATTAAGAATATAATGAATGTTTATTATTACTGACTGAGTTATACAGTTATTGATCGTATAAAGAATAAAACAAGGAGAATAATTGATTTGCCATTTTTAAAAACTGGGTTATATAAAAAGGAGAAAAAAACGGGAAAACCTAAAATGAAAAACGGGAAAAATATATACAATTGCATGGACAAAAAGGGAATAGGCTCGCACAAAATTTGGCAACACTGCTCGCAATTCAGACGCTCCGTGTATGCCGCCAATTACTGGCTTTTCGATGGATAAAGTTTTACCAGTAAACAAATTGTTTGTGGGGCTTTTATAGGTCTAATTTATAAAAGAAACCTATTTAAATATATCATGCGATTTTAATTCATAAAATATACCTATTTAAATATATAATAAGATTTTAATTCATAAAACAAACATTTAAATATATAAGATTTAAGCTGTCAAAAGGAACCTATTTTTAAATATATAAGATAGGAAATACTATTTTTATTAGAAAATATCTTTGGAAATAACAATTTAATTAATCGTTCATAAAACTTGCAAATCGTTACTGGTTGTGCATTTTCGTACTTTCTTGCATGCTTCTCTCGCTGAAAAAAATGAAAATTCTCGTAAACCTGTTTACTGGAAAGTTGCTGGATTTTTTTTTTACTGAAGAATACAACAAAACAAAGCACCTTTTATGTTGTGACTGAGTAGTTAGAGGTACGTACTACCATTCTGTATAACCTCGCTTCGATCCCTGGACCGGCCAGCATGTAAATTATAAATAGCTTTTCTAACAACGGTGGGCTTAACGGGCAATAGCAAAGCTCAAAATGTATTTCCGCCATGAACATACTTCCCATAAAATCCCTTAGACGTTGGGAGGTGGCGTATAATGGTAGGTCCTTCCATTTGTGTAATACCAAAACGCACAAAAAATATTATGTATTAAAATTATGGTATATCTAATAGAAGGTCATCTATAGAGCTCCTGCTTAAGATAATGGTACTTCGGTATATGATGCGTGGTTCATGAAAAAAAGTTCCAACCCGTTGCTGGTTGAGATCATGACAATTTGGTGATGTGAATGCGACGATCATGTCGCTAACAGTGACGCTAAGATACTGCCCCGTATGATTTTAGCGCACACATAATAAGCCACCATTATTATGGCATGAATAAAAGGAAAAATAAAAGGGGAAGGGAAACAAGTAGCATTTGTAATTGGGTGCCCGCAAACGTTGAAAACGGCGGTTTCAAGTACATAACTAAAATCCCAAAAATAACCGGTCAGCTGGAAAAAGAAAATTGGTGTTAGTTTCACTTGCTTCTCCATTGTGCGAGGCTAAATGAAAGAAGTAAAATGAGAGGGCAGCGTAAATGAAAATCTACCGCTTTCTGTGTATCTCCATTTACGTATTTATGAGGTATGTATGAAAGTATACGTAAGCTCAAAAATTTACAAGTCATTAACAATAAAATTAGGTGAAATAAAAAAATTGTTAAGCGCGGCTTACTAAGAATTTCTGGCAAAATATCGGTACATACATATTAATAAACTGTTAAGTTGCAATCGTAAACCCTCTTCCGCAAATAGTGATAATTCTTATACCACTCTCATACTTAATAGCCCAAACAATCTTGCATTATTGGACTGCATATTTAAAACAGCAAATCCATCAAAACGTACTTTCCATCTGAGTTGTCTTTTCGTATTATCCAGCAAAAAATATCCAGTAACTTGCCAGTAACCAAATTTCGGAGAGTAAGCCAATATTTACTCCCAATTAGAGTAATATGCAAGAAAGTACGAAAACGGAAAACCAGCAAGAAGTTGCAAGTTCTATAAACAGTTGATTAATTTGTTATTTTCCGACGCAATTTTCTAAGTAAAATACTATTTCCTATCTTAATATATATTTAAATAGGTTTGTTTAGTCAATTGCAACTCTAAAAGCACCACAAACAATTTTTTGGCAATGTGAATTACATTAGTTGCGATCCCGTACGAGTCCGGACTAGTCAGAAATAGTCAAAATCAGTCAGATTTTACTGGAAATCGATCCCGTACTCGGTTCTCTGACTATTGAGAGGACAAAAAAGAGAGTAAATACCAAGAATGATAGAAAATTTTTATTGGCGTATTTTATAGACTTTATATGCATACATAATTTTATTGTAAGGATGCCGATTCAAATTAATAAAAATCAATGTTTCTTGCACGACGGTTGATTCTTCTGGCATGATTGAAGGTGCTGCCACATATTTTGTTGTCGCTTATGATTGTCACTGTGCCATGATTTTGTTTAAATTTTTGTAAAGTTGCTTACCACACTTACGATTGCTATAAATTTTGCTTCCATTTTTTAAGATTTTCTAATTTGGTGTCTTGAAACTAAAAACAAAAGCACCAAAAACGCGCCAAGCACCAAACTCAAAAATTTTCGGTTTTGAATATCAACTAAATTTGGTGCGAAAGGCATGAAGTTGGCAACAGGGAATGTAAACAAAAGTATTTTATGACGTCAGCGATTAGGTGGATGCTGTCAAATCGACGAAGAGAGGGTTAGCGGTCCGCGAATGGCGCGACCTTTATTTTCTGGATCGTGAGTAAATACGGTTCTCTCTCTGTCAGAAGTTACCAGTTTTAGTCCGAGAATTTTTTGCTGGTAAATTCTGGTAAATGTGTCAAACGATCAGCTGTAGTGTGTTTGGCAACCAAATTGTAAACAAAAAAGTGCACTCTGCTAATTCATGTTGAAAAGTATTTAATTACTTGTTTAAGTGGATTCTAATGAATTTGAAAGTATTTTTGGTTATTTACATGTGTCAGCTGAGTGCGTTTACATACAAAATTAGCAAAAATTTACAACCAAAATTTTGAGGTTATGTTGAAGTTGACAGAAGTTACCATTTTTTACTAGAAAGCGATCCCGTACTTTTCCATGTTACTCTCGCTCTGAGCGAATTTTTATTTTTTGACAGTTTTACTAGTCCGAGTCCGAGGAATACGGGATTGCACCTATTAAGCATCATGCCATCAGCTGTTTTTCTTACTATCAAAAGTTGCTAGTAAAAATTTATCCAGTAAAACTTGCAAGTTCAGCTGTCATTTTTGGTATCTCAATTCTCTCTATTTTGCTGGTTTCTTGCAAGTTTTTGCGTACGAAAACGGCTTCCAGTATAAACCAGTAAAATTAGTACTGAATTTACTGGATAGTGCGTACGCGAACACCAATTAAGCGATGAATACTGTACTTATTATATATATAGCCCAAACAATCTGTATAGAACAACCAAACTGGTTAATTAGCAGCAGGTTGATGCTTCACCAAATACCAGAAAACAATTTTTAAGGAAATAATAACAAAGGCGACCGACTATAAATTTCTATTTTCAAACTTTCTTCGGCGATTTTCATTTAACCATTTTGGTTTAGCGATCCATCAGCCGATACCATATTCAAAAAAAAAATAAAAATTCCCATTTTATAAATTCAATGGCCATGACGACGACGGCAACCGCACAATCAACTGCTACGTCGCTGCCGCTGCCCGCTTTGACGACGCAGTTATGTCTCGCAGCAGCGGATGAAGAAACAAAGGAAAACCAGCAAATTGTAGTCATCGCATGAAGAGGAAACAGTGTTGCATTGTGACTAAGAACAAAACTGTGCCAATAAGATTTAATTTTATAAGCATAAATTCAAATATGGAAAACAAATTTAAGGAAGTTACATTGAAGCCGCATTGCGACCTTTTGACATGCAAATAGTTTTATTCGATACATAGTAACTTTAAGTTAAAAATGGTAGTTTAGTTACTAAATAATAAGCATAGGCTCAAAATCCACTAGCAACACTGTTTATAGTACAAGTTAAAAAAAAAAAACAAGCAACGTCAATGCACTGTACTCTCCAATAAGTGCAAGCGGGACCAAATCAAAAACCTCAAAGCAGAGTTGAAACATAAGATAGCCCATTACAGGCACCAGAACGAGACAACCAGCGGTGTAAAAGCGTGACCAGATCCGAGCGAATTGGCGAAACCGCAAACTGCGGAGAATTACAAAATAAAAAAATAAAAAATTATCACAATCCGGTGAGCCGCCCAGTACAAGGCAACACTGTTGGAAACGATTGTGGCCGAACTTGAGTACTACCGAGGCGATTAGACATAAGCTACGCTGGCGTCGAAGTTAGCGCCGACTTTCGACGTGATGGCAACACAGGCTTTATAGCCGAGGAATATACATACGTTTTAGCAAATATGGACACAACATGAATCCTTGCAAAAATTTGGTATGCCTGCCAACCGTAAATATAAAATTAGTACAATATAAAAGTGGCCAGCATTCATTAGTCTGGCATTTAACACCGACGACTGAGCAGCTGGCAGTGTACTACTCTAATAAAAGCGTCGCCACGAATATAGTTAGGAAAGCAAAATACGTGTGCGGAAAAGAAATGGAAAGTACCAACAGCGGTGCGCCAGCCGCGCTGCTGCTGAGCCGTTTCCTTCTTGTTTCCATATTTATCTCGAAGGTTTTTGTCTCCTTTTTGGCTAGCTTTTTTTACGGCTGACTGGAAGCAAGGATATGAGGAATACAACGCAAACCAAGCTAATAATTCTAATTCTGAGGTAGGGAGTATACACGGGTTGTGTGGAATATTAAATTTATATAAATATAAATCAAAAAAGTTATTGGTTTATACATATGTAGGTTTATGCGTAAATCGAGCAAGTTCATTATTAGGTTAGAAATATGCTGGACTTTTGCTTGCCGATTGATGTTGAAACACACATAATTTACTATGTATACCACTCAATTGAGTAACAATACCAGAGAACTAAAAATTAACGAACAGCACCAAAAATATCGCCAACTATAATGCACAATTTCCGGAAAATTAATTAAAATAAAGAGTTTCACAGGACTATAGACAAGGTGCACTTTGGATTCACTAAATCATTAGTTGTTCACACAAAAAATGCACACTTTGGCAAGACACTGACATTCATCGCAGCCAATCCACCTCATAGGAGTTTCCATATACAGGGTATTAGCCGGAGTGTCGAAATTAATAATGGGTCCTTATATCAGTCATCTGCTCAATATTCCTGCATAACTTAATTTACATAGCTAGTTTTTAATTATTTTTTCTCTAATTTCCCTTCTAATATACTGTCACCATGAACACCAGACGTCGTGGTCGTTGCTATCGCAGCCGCTGTCGGTGCTTCGTCGCCCATTTTCGATCAATTCTTCCCCGTCATTTCTTCTGCTGGCTCATCGTTTCACGTTATTTCTTGCATAAAGAAGTTTCACACCATGCCCTAAAATGCATTTCAATTTCTTGCCTATTTTACGCACTTTTAAACATACCTTATTAATTCTTTTTAACGCCATTTTGTAGCAATTTGATTTTTAATGTGTGTGGAGCGCAGCGCACAAAATTAAATTTATATTAAAAAAGAAAATTTTTCCTTCTTTGCCGTTTAAAACCCACGAGTACGACGATTTCAATTCTCGCAGCAATCGCACTGAATTTTTGTCTTGACGAACAACGACGACCAATGAGACCGAACGACCACGAAGACAAAACGCAGCAGTTTCGATTCGCTTCGGTGCTCGACTGCTTCAACGTCGATTATGCAGTACGGCTACTCAATATCCGTTTCTTATGAAGACAACTGCAGAGTGACTAGCGCAGATAGTACTCCAGATTGTCGGAAGCTGACAAACCAGGGAGAAAACAATACGCGCAAGCAAGACAACGATCTAATAGATTTTATTTTTGACAGCCGGAATTTGAGCAGCTCGGCGAATTTTTTCTGCACACATACACTTTTTCGCTTATAATCTTTTCCAATTCGCTTTCAATGTTCAATAGCCTTTTTCAACGTCGTCTTTACCAACTTTTCAAAAGCCTCGCAAACCGATTTACAGTTTTTTTGGAAAGCCAAAACGAAAATATTACGCCTACTTCAGTGGCGTTCAGCAAGCTTATGACTTTTCGATTAACTTTCTTCAGGTGAAATCTAAATTATACACTAGGGTTGCCTCCGCCCGAATGACTCTCGTCGATGATGCGAATTGCAGTGTTTCGTTTTCGTTTTCAATAGACAAAAAAGGGTGGCGAATTCAAATGGCACGATGGCGGTTGATTCACACTTTCGCCGTTCACTGAAATTTTATTTTCTGCGAACTGGATGATAGCTAGAAATTGCATTGAATTTTTATTTTAAAGACTATCAAATTTTCCTACGCCAGTCATTTGAAATTATCTATATCCGAAAATCTTCACTATTTCCACTTGAAATTTATTTTCGAATTAACAACCAGAAAAGTTAAACACAACTATGTTTATTTCACTTCAACGCATTCACATTCATATGTATAATAGAGAAGTCATTTAGGGTAAATAGCTGTCACCTTCACTCAGTGCATAGTCGGTAAAGAAGTTCAGCAAAATTTTAATAGGGATATTCACACCATGACCAGAAATCTATAAATAAACTTGAAGCTAATGGGGTTTTCGCACGCTGCGATTTTTCAGGCAACTTTTGCGTTCAACTCACGCAGAGTTGCACGAAAAAAATGGAATGGCTAAAAATATCAAAATATAAAACAAATATCAAAATATTCGACATAAAAAGGCGTTTGCATTGTTCAACTTTGCATTCTACTTTTGCTTGAACGGCCTTTCAGCTAATCGCTTTCAACAAAGTTGGTCGCCAGCCATTCAACTTTTTTTTAATGCAGCCGTGCAACGCCCTTGAACGCAAAAGTCGAAACCAAAATTGCCTCGTGCGAAGCGAATTTATACGAGGTGGTGTTACTGGCGAATTTAGATTTTCGCCGCGGTACTTATTAATGTCAAAATGATGTTTTTGTAAACAAGGCGAATTCATATCACAACAATTACACTATTTTGACATTAATAAGTACCGCGGCGAAAATCTCAATTCGCCTGTAACACCACCTTGTATAAATTCGCCTTGCTTGTGTCGTTCGTTCCAAGCCGAATTCATACAAGGTGGTAGCAAGAATACAACAACAACAACCACATGTATTTTCGTTCTTGATGTATTTTGTATTGCGGGTGTATTGTAGCGAATACTGCTGCAACGCGAGGCGAACAACGAGAAATAGGCAGAATGTTCGAGGAATGACGTAGAATGTTCCACAAAGAGAAACCTCAAGTTGAATAAACACTGCGGACAGCGAGAGAAAGAGAATGAGCGATAAACTTCAGAACGTTCTAGAGTTGCCATAAGTGCGAGCGCAGGTATATAAGGGCGCCGCCACAGCGAAGTTAGTTAGTTACAAGTCAGTAGCTCGTTTCTGTAACTCTTCTCTACCGATTATTTCTCTACTGGTAGAGAATATATGTCATTCTCTACTACTCATTAGCAGTAGAGAACAGGGCGGCGAATTTATATCTCAATTCGCCTTGGTTGAGAATTGTTACAGAAACGAGCTACAGCAAGCTACAAGTAAAGTGAGTTGCGAATAAGCAAGCTATAAGTTTAATTGTGTTAACAAGTTTTGTAAAGCGTTGTAATTGCTTTAACGAGTATTGTAAAGTGTTTGGAACAAATGCAGTTGGGCTCCAAATCCCCAAAAAAAATATTGGAATCGATAGAGATGAATGAGCTGAGTATAACGGTATACTTCTTTTTTTGGTCAAACAACAACAAAAATTATCAAAGGTCATGATTCAATAATACAAGGTTAGATAATTATTGACAGCTGCGGTTTGACACTCCCTTACAAAAGGTTGCATTTGCGAAGGACAGAGAAAGGGCAAGAATGCAATCCCTTGTTGCGAAAATGGTAGTAGAAAAGTACGCAAAGTAGGCAATTAGTAGTGAAATTCCTTTTGTAAATTCTAAAGTATTTGCAGGAAATCTGGCATTTTAAACGAAATGTTGAACGTAATATTTATATATCTACGTGAATTACGTAATTTATATGCTATTTAGCTGTATAAAAACTGCAAAATGACTCAAAATTAAAATAAGACTACTATGAGATTGATATAAACATCCAATGCTTATGTTTTCATCAGTTAAATATGCTTCATATGCATATACAAATAAACATATTGCACAAAAGCTTATACTTTTATTTCACACCAAAGCTACACTGTTTCCATGTAAATTTGCAAAGAAGCAACACGGTGCCTTTGCTAAGGGAGCGGTGCGAGAGAGACAACTGTCAATTTATCGAACCTTGTATTATTGAATCATGATCAAAGGTTAAAGTTCAAAATAAGCAAGTTTTGAAATCAAGATTTCTTAAAAACGGATGGATGGATCTTGAAAATTTTGATCTCATTTAATAGGAAATTTGATTCCCTTTAATTTGGTATATGTACTTTATTATATGTTGTATAGTTCTTACAAAAATTGAATTAATGAAAAATCATTATAAAAAACACCTTTTGCAGAGAACACCTTTATGCGTAGGCGGCCTGCGGCCATATATGTAATACTTCTATATTGGTAGTAAGCTAACATCTCAATGTGTAAGCATTCCGAAATTAAAGCGAGACAGTCTAGTACTGTTTTTGTCAATGTATTGTGTACTTGAGTGCCGTTTTTTTGTAAATGTGTCGTGTACATGTTTATTTACAAACGTATGTGTTCCTTTTCCTTCGTAAGTGTTTATTGATATATCTGTACTGTAGTGTTTTCGGACGGTACTAGCTCTTACTGCCAATATAGGAGTATTACATATATGCCTGGGGCCGCACTTAGGGATTATAACCCTCACAACGTAGAATTCCCTTTCTGTGTTGCGAAGAAAAGGCACTGAACACCTTTTGCAGAAAACACCTTTCTGCGTAGGCGGCCTGCGGCCGCACTTAGGGATTATAACCCCCACAACGTAGAATTATCTGTCTGTGTTGCGAAGAAAAGGCACTGAACACCGTTTGCAGAGAACACCTTTCTGCGTAGGCGGCGTCGGCCGCACTATGTCTGATTAACACAAATCGGAGGTAGAAGCTCCGGTTAAATACAACGACTGCTTTATCGATCACATGTTATATGCATGATGTCGAAATCGTCGATAATGATGTTTAACAGACAAGAAGTGATAACCAGACATTGAACAACCGGCCCTTAGGGTTTGTAAGCTTTTTTTTATACCCGAGCGCACTTGTGCACAAATGATCAGAATGAAAAGAGAAATCGATTAAGCGGTGACTGTCTGTCCGTCCGTCTGTGCACACGATAACGCGAGTAAAAATTAAGATATCTTAACGAAACTTGGTACGTGTACTTCT